ATAAGGTGCCATCCAGAAAAGACTGTTTTCTTCAAGAAATATAACACAGACACAGGTAGTATATTAAGTTTGCCTAAAATCTCCCAGGTTTCAGAAGCCTCAGAGTTTTCCACTTTAAAAAAAAAAATTCTAGTATTGCTAACATACTTCATTATTCATGGAGTCATAGAATTATTTGTGTTGGAAGGGATGCTTAAAAGTCACTTAGTCCAATGCCAATAAGGGGGTACACCACAGTAAAATCAGGATTCCCAGAGCACTGTGTAATCTGATCTTGAATGTCTTCAATGGCAGGATATCCACCAAAACTCTGGGCAACCTGTTCCAGTGCCTCACCACCGTTATTGTACAGGAAACTTCTCGTGTCCAATCTAAATCTCTCCTCTTTTAGTTTTAACCCATTTCTCCTCGCCCTTTAGCAACAGATTCTGCTAAAGCGTATGTTCCATTCCCACTTTCTGCCTCCCTCAGATACCAAAAGACTTCTATCAGGTCACCTCAGAGCCTTCTCTTCTTCAAGATAACAGCCCCAACTCTCTCAGCCTGTCCTTGTAGGAGAGGTGTTCCATCTCTTGGATCATTTTTGTGGCCCTCCTCTGGATGCATTCCAACTGCTCAATGCCTTTCTGCCTTAAAAATCTCCAAGATTTTTAGCACTGCCTTTCACCTAGGGTAGACTGGGCCAGGAAGTATTCAAATGATTATTTGTGGTCAACTGATTTTGGTCAGCAACAAACACCTAATTCCTTGTACATCCTGCCCCCCCTCCATTAGGATGGAGGGGAGAATTGGAAGGGCAAACATGAGTGGAGACTTGCCAATCGCCTTCCACAGGCAGATCAATGGTCAGCCAGTTTTCCAAGTAAAGTCTACTGTGGAGAAAAAAAAAATAATAATAAACTGCCCCACAGTTTTGATTGCTGAGTATTAAGTCTTAAGATATGGAATATGTCTTTGGCCAGTTCATGTCAGCAGTCCTGGCCAAATCCCACCTTCTTGGCCACCCCCAGACTACTGAGTGTGGAGTCAGAAGCAAATAAGGGCTTGATTCTCTGCAAGCAGTGTAGGCTGCAACCCTATAGGTTACTATTAAGAAAATGAACCCCATCCCTACTAGATCTAGTATGTGGTTAAATGATGCATAAGAAAGTAGGTTTCACTGAGGTTGTGGTTAGTACCACCTCTAACACTACTGCAACATAAATTTTCAAATATTGTATAAATGTATTGTATAAATACATATATCTCAGTTGATCTTTGGAGATGTTTATCCCTTGTCACTAAGGCCAGTTAGTTCTAGTGAGAACTAACTTCCACACTCAGGGGCACAGCTGAATACCTAAAAATTGACAGAGTGAGCCTGCACCCAAAAGCTGTGAATTTAACTTGATATTCTACAGAAAGACGATGTAAGTGTATATGGAAGGGACACATAACAATGTTGTGTATTACCTGTGATCCTGCATGTGGTAGCAGGTTCCATCTCAGGTATACTTAAGTTTTATAAGTCAAACAAAAAAGAAAAAGTAAGGACATAACATTTACGAGGATGAAATATCATTACCAGTGCAGCATGGGATGGCAGAAAACGCTGTCCATGGATGTTGTCGTGATGAGAGCTTAATGTCAGCAAAGAAATCAAAAAGCACTCTTAAATTACAGATTAAATTGAACAACTGTTGTTGCATGCCTTCAATCAAAAGAAAATTGCTCTGCAGTTGCAAACTCATCCAAGTGTCTTCCCTTTCAGCCATGGTTTTATTCACCTTCAACTAATTATTCCTTATCCAGCAGCTGACATCCTGACCGCTGCCTTGCTGAGCTTTTCTCAGGTGGTGAATAAAAGCTTACGTAAATTGAGCACTCTCACCTACTCAGCCCTCTTCACTTCTTTCTCCCACTGCTGAAATATAACATAGCTTAGTGAAACTGCCTGTAGGTAGTTCCTCTTCTCTTTACTTCCATTACTGCCATATCCTGGAACCATATTTTTCTATTTCCCAAACAGCTTAATTTCAGACCAGTTAAATGAATGTTTTGCAGCAACAATGCCGATTCAATTTTTATTAAAACACTTGGATAATTTTAAACTTGTTTGAGATTTTTACTAGGAAAGGAAATCAAACTAAAGAATATGTTGCAAAGAGTTGAGGGAAGGGGATTGTTAAAGCCTGAATCTTGCAACTTTGTGTTGAGATTGAATATGTGATAAATGTGAGGTGTGGAAGCTGACATGCAGAATGAATACTGACTGACTACGTATGTAGTCAGAATTATATATAGAAGTGCCTATCCCCAACTAATATCTAGACTGTATGGCTAAATCTCAATAACCTAAATTCTGCATTTGGGTTCTGCAAACCTTTACTCAGTTCTGCTAAGGAACAGAAAGGCAGTTGGAACAAGTGTGTCTAGGATGCATTTATTATGTATTTATGATTCTCCCACAGCAGGCAAGAAATAATGAGTTGGAAAGGAAATAAATTAGTATAGGTAAAATGGCAATCCATACGAGCAAGTAGACTCTCCTCAGCATTTTAATAAGGCAATACTATGAAAGACTTTTCAGTGGTGGCCTATATTCAATTACAAAGTGCTGTTGTTAAATGACATACTTTGATTGCAGCACTGTTAATATATATGAAGATTATATGCATATGTACATACACACAAACATGGATGTATCTCTTTAGATTAACTAAAAATTTACATGATTTTATTAGGAATTGAGATAATGTTTTGAGAAGTCTGAAAATGCATCCTTTAATGGAAAATTCAACAGTAAACTAAGTTTAACTAACCAAGTGGTAAAGAGATGCACTAGCTTTCAGCTACTGTAGTATGATTCTTTGAAATATCATACATACATATACAAAATAAATACGTATATTTTTATCTGATGTTTTGCAGCACAGTATGAGAGTTTGAGATCCCAGAGGAAAGTCACACAGTGCACTGCTGCCCTCTGGCTGGAGCCTGAAAGAAGAAAGACTGAAGTTTCACTTGCGTGGATGGTGTCAGCCGTTTGACATACAGGAGACATGTTAATTACTAAATTAAATTTTGTTTTTGTATCTTACAAAACCTGAAGCATAGTTAGATGAATGCCATTTTCAAATTCATGGTACTGTATGGAGGAATCCGTAGATTTTATGTAATTTTTCTGATACTATATCACAAAATAGATCAAGACAAATTGTAATTAGGGGTTACAAGATTCTACAAATACCCACTAGTTAAAAGCATGGTGGTGACTCCAAAGGTTTTCTAAATGTCAATCCTATTGATTCATTATCCTGTGGATGTTCACTTAATGAACTTAATAATTCACTTAATTATTAATTGTATTTATTAAAAAGCATAGCTAGCCTAGCAAATATTTATTTAACTTATTTTTGATTTGCCAACTACCATAATGGCTTTATCATGCTGATATTCTAAAAAGTCATCTTTAATACTTTAACTATTTTAAAAGCTTAGGAGTTTAGACCAATGTTCCTTGTAATTCTTCTGCATGGCATGGAACCAAAGCCTGGCTCAAACCAATACGTAGAAACAGTAGTCATGACATTACACAGTGTCAAAAGCAGTACCACTTTGTCAATGAATATGTAAGTACATAGTCTGATTAAAGCTGCAAAGATTAAAAGATGCTTTATTAATAACAGACATTTCTCATGCAGAGCACCTGACTGTAGCATCCTGGGAAATGAGCACTACCTTATGCAAAGCTAGAGGTTTTAAATGTCATCATAATTTTTTTTTTCAATTTAAAACACTGCACAAGTTTAAATTACCAAACTGTGGTGTTTGAGACATTGATCTTGGACCTGCAGAATAGTGAATGGTATTTCCAGACAATACTTCAAGTGATGAAATGTTAACAGCACATCACTCAATGGTTATTGATTTCAATTGAGCAGTATGAAGTGGTCATCTTTTCTCCTTGCCCTTCTGAAGCAAATGCATGAAAAATTGTTCAAGGATGCAAACAACTTCAAAAAGTCATAACTGTTTATTTTGAAAGAAATATTCTTGATGCTAGCCCACAGAGTTGGAATTACCTTATTTTTGTTACATTGAAAAATTCTATTTTTAGGAAACTAGTCAATTTTCTATTTCAAATAGTATTGTGACTGATTTAGGTACCTAAGTCACAAAATAACTGAAAGAACTTCTCTCGGTTTTACATGGTATTTTTGGATCTCTCTGGGAAAGGCAAGATCACATGTTTTATTTAATCTGCTTTATTTTATAGAAAAAATAATATGAAATATATATAGATCAGAAATCTGATTTTGCAAACTCCTGTGTGGGAATGTGCTTCTATATCAGGATCAGCTTCTATACAAACTTTAAACTTGTTAAGATTATTACATTTACAGAAGTTTAACACATGTCCATAGCAATTTCTGGTACAGCTTTGTTTAGCCTGCTTTAATGTAAAAATCTTATCCTTTTAATATATAAGATTCATGCAATGATGGTTATCAACACATCTTGCCAAGATGAAGAAGAAGGAACAGCTATTGAACTATGCAACTGTTGAGACTAAACAAGAAGAAATGTAAGAAAACATTATGATCAAAGAAAGTATTTTTGAGTTTTTTTCTGCCAAGATCTTGTGAAGAATGAGAAACAACCAGAAATGGAAGAAAGGACTTGGTAAATAAATATGTTCACAGAGCCCCTGAAGAGCTTTTTGTGCAGCGAAATAGAATATCTTTTCCATTTCACCTTCTCTTTTCTTCTTTCTACCAGCAGGCCTGTTCACTTAAAATGAAAACTAGTATTCTAAAAGTCTGTCAATATCTTTTCATGAGTATCAGTTTTCTACTTTGCAGAATATACAGACTATAAAATGAAATTGCCATTTACTCTTCAAAGAAGGAAATGCAATAAATAAAGCATTAAAACATTTTAAAATATATTTACTAATTTCAAGATATTTGTCTACAGTATATGCGTTTACACAGCATCAGTACAGAAGTGTGCTTCCTCTAAATAAAATACCCCAGGCATTTATTCCTTTCGCTATCCATTTCTTCAGTTTCTAATTCATAATGTTTCATGGCAATGAAATAATTGATGAAAGTTTCACCTAATGCTTCCTTAATGCATGAATCTTTTTCAAGTGCCACAAGAGCATCTTCTAGCTTCAGAGGGACGGATGAAGGTTTCAGACCAGATATGTGGTTTTCTTCCAGGGATGTATCATCATACCTAAGTCCCCTCTTTACTCCATCTAGACCTGCAGCAATAGTAGCCGCAAGTACCAAGTAGGGGTTTGCTGTAGCAGAACTCAATTTATTCTCTATGCGAGTGCCTTTTCCACCATGACATTTGACATTAAAGGCACAGCTGTTATCATTATATGCCCATTTTGCACTTACAGTCTCTTTTGATTCTTTGCTGTATTTGGAATAAGGCTTACGGCAGCTGGTAGTAGGAGCCATCAAGCAGCTAATAGCTGCTGAGTGTGCCAAGAGACCAGATAGCCAATTTTTTCCAATATCTGTGAGCTCCTCAGCTCCATAACCAGCAGAAAACAAATTCTTCTGCCCATTCAGATCCCACAGACTATGTGAGAGAGCACCTGAATTATAGAATCCTGATTCTGAGAAAAAGCTAGCTATGTAGCTATACTTCTTAGCCACCTCTTTAATGCCTGTTCTAAATGTGAAGGCACTGTCAGCAGCATCTATGCCAAATGCTGGATGAAAAGTGATCTCCATTTGTCCAGGCCCACTAGAAGAAGAAAAGCTTTCAATGTTGGCCCCAGTACAATACATTCCTTCAATGAGCTCCTGAATGAATGTCTGGTCATGGTTATTTAGTATCGTTGCTGCAGGAAAGGATATTGTCTTTGAATTTACAACCTCAGTAATGCCATAAATACAAAATTCATAAGTGAAGGCAGAGTGTAGAGAGAAGCCGTTGTCCTGAAGCTCTCTCAGCTGCTTCTTGGCAATGTGCCTAGGTGAGGTCATTAGAGGGTTGCCCAGTACAGTGAAGGAATCACATATTACTCTAGCTGTCTGCTCGGTCCAGGGTAGAATTCGAAATGTTGATAAATCAGGGTTCAGGATTATGTCACAATTAAAATTGGTTGCATTTATATAATCTATTTCATTATCCTTAGGATTCAGGGTCAGTTCAAGATAGCTTCTGGGCATGGCAACACCATGAATTGCTTTTTCCTAAACACAGAGCAGAATGACAAATTACAGAATGAGAAAATAACTGAATGGTATTTCTATGCAAGTAAAATTTATAAAAGTCTGATTTATAGCAAAACAGTAGCATTTTTCATAAAAGAACACCTAAAGAACAGCAATCGTTTAAGTGGAAGATACTGACCAATAACTGTATCGCTATGAAGTGGGACAATCTTGTACAAAATTTGTATGAAAATTCTGGCATCAAATATCCTGATGATTGTTCTTTTAATTCCCATTCAGAGATGTAGAAAAAAATGTTCAACACTTAGTATTCCTTTTTTGTTTTTCCTTATTTTTTGTACAACTATGGGAATCATCAGTTATGTGCAAACTTTGCAGCCAAACTTTTCTTTATAGTTACTTTATGAGGCTTTAGCATTCTCTGAGCATTTGTTTTACAGAGAGCTAAGTGACCATAAAAGACTCATGATGAAAGTTAGGCTGCCACCTCTCTTTAGATGAGATAACACTTGCCTCACCATTTTTCAAATGCAAAATTAAACCAAAAATTCTCACTTTCTGGTTTTATTGAGTTGGAGAAGAAAAAAGAACAATCAAACAAAAAACAAAACATACATAGCATTTTCAAGTGCGAAATTATTCAGTGCTCCCCTCTTAGGTAGCAAATGGGATAAACTCCTAGTTCTATCTTCTCTCTTTAAACAGAGAACTTCCACTTACATAGATGAAATGTAAATAGGACATCTCCAAGCAAGCACCTGTACAACTTAAAACAAAACCACTGGATGATGAAAGCTGCAATTATGTGGCTGTCAAGAGAAAATTGGCTCACATTTACATTTTACCTTTATCCTTCTATGGGAAAGGGAACAGAGGATACAGAATGAACGTAAAAAAGGGAAAGCTCAGAGCTGATAAAATATTTCCTAACCAGGTGGAATACTGTTGAAATACTTAAAACTATAAATAATGGCTCCTCTAAAAATGAATGAATGAATCATCAGTACAGAAAATTCTGCTACTGAATCATATTTCTCACCTGATTGACTACTATAACATTTCTAATAGCTAAAGACATTTTAATTTACTCATTTTCTTTTTGTTAGTGGTTACAATTTTCTCATTGGATTTTATGATATCCAATAAATCTAAATCTTTATAATTGTGTAGAACTTGAAAAGATTAAGAGAAGAGTTTACTAGAAGTGCAAAGAGGAGAAACTACTGGCCCTATTTAATTGGATTATCATTTTTGAGAAACCAAGGGATAGATGATTACAGTGATGAAAAGATGTCCACATTCTTTGGGAAGAATAACAAGTGAAAGAAGCAGATAATTTGTTCTAAGTTTGAGATTCTACTTGCACTAGGAAAAAAAAATATATATATATACATATATATAAAATATATAAAGGACAGAGCAATGAAAACACTAGGTGTACCTAGAAACCAAAACACTTACATGAAAAAAGCGAGAAGGAACATTCTTTGATCTTGACACACCATGGAGGTCTATTGATTCAAATCTGACGAATTGTATGCTGTCCCTGGCCATCTGCTGCTTAATAAATTCAATGTGAGAGAACAGGTGAAGGAGGCTTGGAATTCCGAGGCCGTTTATATCAGGTTCTCTGCTGGATGCTATAAGTGAAGAGAAATGTTCATATCAAAAGAAATAATGAACGCTGCAATACAGGCTGTTCTAAAAAGTACAGTAGTGGCAAACTAGTGCAGAACGTAAAAATAAAACTAAGAAAAAGATATGGATCACACAACATTTCTGTAAACATACAGGTTTTTTTTGTTTTTTTTTTTTTCCTGGGAATCCATACAAAATCCTGTATTTTTGGGAATAGTCTGTAACTCGAATGTTTTTTCGATAAGAAAACACAGGGCTATCAAGCACTGAAGCCAGGGATTTCTGAGGAATACCTCGGTGTGTTTATTGGGTGAGTTTAAGAGCACAAATAGCAACTGGATAATCTTTTCCCACTGAAAGTTGATTTAATTCAGATTCTGTGTTCCTTTAAACTCTTTAAAAAGTGCACGGATAAAGAAATATAATAAAAAGAATATTTATCTACTAAACCTGTCTTTTTTTCTTTAGAGACCTAAGAATAGTAACTTCTTTTCACAAACCTCTTGATCCCTGAGCCTGTTTTCTTTTGCAAATCTATGTATTATTACTATTCAAGTTAAACTATATAAAATATTAATTTATATTTACTACCATAAACTAACTAAACCAAAGACAAAAAATATGATATCAATATTTTAAAATAAAGTATTTCTTTCTTTGTAGGAATAAAGTCCTCCATTCTTCCACGGAAACTGAGAATTTGACTAGATTAATTTTTTTAAATCATTCAGACCAACAGTAAATCAGGAACAGCTGCCACTTATCATCAGCCTTCAAGTGGAAGTCAAAAGTTACATCGCTGATAGAAGGAACACTCCTAATCTCACCAGTATCAAATTACCACAAATGGGGTAAAATTCCTTTAGCAGAAGACAGCAGACAGATCTTTTTCATCTTTCCACTGGGACAGCAAGGACTCCCAGCTACAAAGCTGCAAGGAGTCCAGCAGAATGGCCCAGCACAAAGCTGTCTGACCATTCCTTCAGAAGGCAGCAAACTTCCACAGTCATAGACTTTGTGGAAGCTCTGAATGCTGCTGTACCAATCTTCAGCTTCAGATGGCAAGGAGGTTGCTAGGATACTAAAAAGTGAGGAGACATTAAGTAATAACATTGCTCCCTGAGGAATAAATAACAAGTGAAAGCAAAAACAAAAGTTTAAGTAAATATAAAAGTCAAACGAAAAACAGCATAAATCAAATAAGTAAAACCAAGAAAATAAAAATTGTCACAGACACCTTCTCTCTTTCCAGTCATCTGCTTCAGCTGTGAGCTGCTTATGGAAACAACTTTTTTCTCTGTCCTCAAAAGCACTGGGGCACTGTGTCCTTAAAGAGATATACATTGAATAAGGAAGTCCTGTTCAATTTTGTGCAACACTCATTCACGCTATTACAGATACTCACAAGACATAACCAGTGAGCAGGGAATCTATGTAAATTGACATTAATTTATGTATGTCATCCAGGAAACAAGGACTTGAATCCTACTTCAGTCATCCCATTTTGTTTTACAACATGCAACAAATATTTACTGATAATTGGCAGATTTGATCTCCTTGTGAATCTGAGCATCGAGCAGCAGTCTATTAGCAGATAATAAACTGTGGCTACTGATCAGATGCATAGAGCTCAAAAAGATTCTGAGGATCTTCCTATGGATTACAAGTGGCATCTTCAGCTCCAGGGTAAGAAGCCTGAGGGTTATAATAATAATTAATATAGAAATTATATATATATATATATATTATATATTATATATAAGTTTATATTATATATAAGTATATAAGTATTATAAGTATATATTATATATTATATATATTATATGAAATGTCATAAATTAATACAAAAATTCTAAAGGTGATATGTGTTAAACGAAATTAAGAAAACCAAAAGAATTAACTGAAGAAGTAAGAATTGTATTTTCAGGTTTGACTTGTTATAATTAGTGATGGATCTTTTCAGATAATGAGCTTAAAATTAATATCAGTATTTTAATTTAAATTGGGCTAGACTAAGTCCTTGCAGCCTAGTGATGGAGAAAGTTTGGAAAAGAGTAGTTAGGAAACCAAGTACTTTGTCTTTTCCCAATTCATACAAACTCCATCTAGAGCATCACCTACTGTAGATAAGGTAGAAAACAAATAAATGTTAGGCAAATGTAGCAGACATAGATACACAATCTAACAGTCTTACACTCTCATGAGGGAGAACTGTGTTCGCAAGTGTAATTGTTTCCGTGGGACTTTAGAAATGAAGACATCTTCATTTTCAATTCATAAACTCTACTAACAGAAACATATATATTAGTTTCACAAAATGCTCAAATTTGGGTTCAGATTTTCATTTTAAAATTGATTTTTAAATCCAGACTGGACTTATTTTATAAAGAAAATTTCTGCATGTATGTCATAGTTTCTAAATAGTTATATCAAATCAATAGTACACAGGAAAACATTTAATGTTTATTTCTCTGTTTTTCTATCTGTTCTATGGTTCTATCTGCTTTTTCCACGTAAGTTATCACTGAGAAGCAATTGGTATCACTTGTGTTTGTTTTCTAATTACTACAAACTAGTTATTAATATATATCAATTATCTACACATATTTAAAAATATATATGAACAATGCAAAACTACAAATACTACTCCAAAAATCTATAACATATACAAATAATAATATAAATATGAGTGAGAGCACCATATGAAATGGAATGCAAAATTATTTAGGGAAAATAAGCCTTTGCACAATGTTCAAGGTAGGTTAAACTCTTCTTTAGTGCATTGTAGAAGGAGAGGTAGCTGCAGAGAAATAGCAGAGAATCCATTTCAGTTATATTAGGTCTAAACTAATTATTCTGGCCACACTGCAATATTACTAGGAAAAAAAAGGGTATCTCTACTAGTAAGGAAGAATTACCGTCTGAATATACCTTTTTTGCTCACAGCATTGCAGGATGACTGGCTTACCACCAGGTGAGTTGAATCTTACATAAAAGAGGACATAATGGAGAAGAAATATAGGATCTTATGTTGTACTGCTCCAAGAAAAAAAAAAAAGTATAATCATAAAGTAAGTAACCATAAGTATAAAACATATAGTCATACAGCAAGAAGAGATTTCAGCTATCAGTATGAAAGATAAAGGATTTAGGACTTCTGGTTTATTTTAAAGAAAAATATTTGGATTTTGAGCCTATGAGGCAAATAAATAAATAAATAAATAAAATTAGCAAGGATTATATAGGTTAACTCAAAAGGAAAAGGAAAGAAAAAGGCAAAAAATATGATGGTTTGCTCAACAAAAAATAGGGACAATTGAGGTTTAGAAAGAAGCTGAGCTTCATCCCGTGCTATGTCTGAGTTCAAAATGTAAAAAAATAAATGTAAAAAATATATATATTAACTGCAGATGGGGCATAAAGAATGTACATGATGGAATAGCATGGCTTTGTTTTTTCACTTTAGGTAAGCTCCAAGAACAGAACAGATTATATGAGGGCTGCTTGAAAGCAATGCCTCCTATTTTATTATGCTGGCCCATGATGGCAGAGGTGGATGTTGATGGTATGGCAGTAAAGGTTGAACTTTCCTACTAATATTCTACTGTGCTTTGTTGCCATGGAACTGGTGGCAACACAGGGGCTGTCTGCCCCTAAATATCATTAAGATTAGATATATGAAAATTTGCTATATATGAGGAGTTGCATTTTAGGTATATTCAGTGTCAATTCGTGCTTAGATCCAAGACTTTTGCTCAGGCCCTTCAGTAAATAAAATGTTTAGGATAGTATTTTATCAATGTCTTATCAAAATTAATTGATTAATTTATTATTAGGGCAAAGACTCATTCAAGATAGCAGAATTTTATCCAAAGCTTTCTTCTCTTCATTTAAGCTACTAAGTATATGCAATGAAGTTGTTTCAAAACACATTTCTATTATTACTTCTACACAAAGATTGTACTTCCGTTTCCTAGAGGAAATATGAAATTGTACCCAACACTGTACAACTTGTTAAGTAAAAGTCAAGTGTAATCCAAAGCTCTGAGATTCCAAAATTTTTATTGTTGAGTTTGTTTTAGATGAGAAAAAACAGTTTTACCCCATCTCCCCTCAAAGTTAGCTTTCATATATAGATCTCCTACAGTTGTTATCACCAGTGACAGAGAATAAGAATAAATCCAGGTTGCTTCCAGCATTTCAAATCAGCAAGGCAAATAATCTAAGCTAACATGCAGACTTCTTCTCCATTGGGTAGAAAGAGAAGCCAAACTCCAGAGGCCAATTTCTCAAAAACCTCTAACTACCTCTTTGAAGACAGAATTCCTACCTTTCTTTACTGATAAAGAAATGAGCTTGGATTAGACACTTTAAGTGGCTAAAATCTGGATGAAATCTCCCTGTGGAATCTGCAATTAATCTCTTCAATTCTTTATACTTTTTTAAATGGTGTCATAATGAAGAACAGTTATTGCTGCATTGCAAGTTATTCCTGTATTTTAAAATGTATTTTCTGGCTTTGAAGACAGTAAATGAGAAAACAGTGGTAATCTACATTTGGCAATGAATTTTGCTAGCCTTTCAGCAGAACAAGAACAAAAAAATGACCTTCTAAGGTAACAACATGCAGAGCAGTCTAAGAAATAATCCTCTGAGCTGCATATTCTAAGAGAGAGAGGTTTGAACATAAAGTATTTTTTCAGGTCTGTTAATTTCTCATTCAGTTCCATGAATCAGTTTTGATGTACAACCATTCACGGATATGTTGCCTGAATTTGTTCAAATTTGTTAACACGATATGTCAAAAACTGTTCTGTAGCTAACAAAATTAGGTATACGTTCAGATTCTTTACAGATTACCCACAGCCACGCTTCCACCATCTGAAAGCAGAACAAGACAGCAGGATAACTTAATACTATTGTATATTAATATTCTTTTGCATTCTGTTGTATAGCTAATGATTGACAAAATATCTTATTAATGAAGATAAAATATTCATATTTCTTGTATCACTGAAATAGATCAGAGAGCATCATACATACCCTGAAAAACTTATAATATTATCTGATGCTCCCAGAAATTTATTAACCTGATATGTGCTCAACTGGCAATTTTTTATGGGTTTTATTGTCCTTCCTGGAATGGATACAAAGCAACTAATTGCTTAAGTTCATCACATTATTATAGCTTTAGCTTTCAATTTGTTGACCCAGCTAGTCTAGAAGTCTAGTTTTTACTATTCAAAGAAAACACAGCCTATTAGTAGCAATTAATTTACTCTATAAACACTTCCAAAATGAACTTATTGAACATCATGAAGATAAGAGGATTTTCTGCATCATTTTCTTTTTCATATTAGATATTTTGCATTCTAGTCCTCTAATAGGGCTAATGACTGAAAACACCTCTCTCACATAGGGCCTATTTTCTCTTCTGTAAATGTTGAAAAGGAAATTTTAAGAAGGCCAAGTAACTTCAGAGTTCTACACTGCCTAGCAGACCTTTGGGAAATGTTGCCTGTGCTCAGTTTAAATGAGGAAATCTCTCAGTTTTAGTGAATAAGACGTAGCCACTTATGCATGGAACTCTTTGGCAGCTTGGCTTTGTAAAAGCCTTACTTAAAAAAAAAAAAAAAAAAAAATGCAGCATAGACGTAGGGTACAACTTCTGATCCATCCCTATCACACAAGTGTTGATTTTCTTCTTCTCTAGTTCTGACTAAATTTTGCAACATCACAAAACCACATGAAACAATAGAAACATATTCTTTAATAGTACAGCAGGTGATGGTTAAATATCCTTACCAGAGTTGCCTGCAGAAGAGTCAAACAGAATCTCAGGAGCAGAACTTTCGGCACTCATGGAAGTTTCTGGTTGTTTCAGGAATGGCTGATCCACCTCGCCTCCTGCTGGTTGTGGCTCGTCAGAACCTGCAGAGCTGAGGACCAGCAGAGGTTTGCTCTGCTGCCCTGCTTCCTCCTTGCGAAAATTGTGGTACTTTTGATTCTCTTTTCCAAAATGGAGACTAAGCATCTCAAATGGCCTGCCTGGTTTTTCAGCTCTTTTCTCCACGGGCTTCAAGTTTTGTTGACTAACAGAGCCACTTGACCCGCCTCTGTAATTTGGCCCATGGGCAGGCAGAGGGCCTTCACTCAGAAGTTTTTTTAGCTCTTGTAGAGTTTGTTTAGAAATGCCAGGTGCGAAAGATACTGCAGTGTCACTCCCTCGTGTGGTTGCAGTGCTCTCCAGGGAACCCATCTTTGTCATATGAAACTTGCTGTTTTCTTCATCCATCCTGCCCCAGACCTCTTGTTTATGCTCTGTCTTCTCACTGTCCTCTTCTTCACACACTGTCTCTGTGCATTCAACTTTCTCTGTATTGCTTGTGGATTGTACAGCCATGGACAGCTTTGTTGTACCTGACGTTTCTGTCCCCTCCTGCATTTTTTCTATTGCTATTTTCCCACTGTCAGCATTTTCTGGGATGTCATATATTTCCCCAGACATGTCTTCTTTCACGTTGCTGCCAAAATGGGAACTGCCTCTGTCCCCTCTGTGGTTTTCTACCAAAGGAAAATTAGTCAGGTTTTGAAGAGAATGATGCAGTGGTGGTTCTGAAATAACAGTGGTTCCTTGAAGAGGATGACAATCTGGGATTTTTGAGGTGAGAGATGGCTCAATCTTCTCATTTTCTAATAGAGGAGACTGCTTTGTGGTACTTTTGATTCCCTTTTTCTTTCTGAAACTACATATATTGTTGCCATCAACTTCATCATTGCCAATTCCAGCTGTTTTCTGTAACCAGCAATAAAATATACAGCCAAATAATATGCATGAACGAAACAGAACAGAGAAAGGGAGTAATACCGCCAGCTGCTTTTACTTTGTAGCACTTCCAGGACTTCTTGCTAATAGAGATCTCTGTGAATACTTAACTACACTCAGATTAGGCTATTTGGGTAAGATTTTCTTACTGAATTCTTTTTCTTAATTTTAGAATAAAGCTGGTGAAAGTACCTTTATAATTTAATTTTCAGGCAGATTTAATAGATTTCAGTTAATACACACAGTGTGACGTCATTTGTCAAGCAAGTGTGCTCTTTAAACGTGAGGAAAAAAAAGCATTTGTAATGATCACACCTATGTTTATTCTTATGTATGTTAAAATAGTTTGTTTGTTGTTATTTTTTGATAGAGGAAATGTATTGCCCTAAAACATGGAACAGTACCAATTCTTGTAAGTATGGGAAGAGAAAGCTGAAAATAAATTATTTTTAAATGAATTTTGCAATCTAATTTGGCTAAATAACCAAACTCCCATGGCAGTAGTCAAATGAGCAAATCCATGTTTAGATGTGTAAGCAGGAAAAAAATAAGAGATTTACTTTTTTTTTTTTTTTTTTTTTTTTTTTGCCATTTTAGGGGTTTTTGTGCGGGGGGCAAATTTTAAAAAAAATTAAAAAAAAAAAAAAATAGAGATGATGCAACGAGGAAGTAGAAAGAATATGTTCGTATTATCCCAATGAATATCAGTATGGGCCTGAATTGTCTCTCCATTAGTATGATTAATCTGCTGATGTCAAGGTAAAGAACAAAGGATAGAAAATAAGAAATAGCAAAGATTTTAATATCAATGTGATTAAAAAAATGATTAATTATTTCACAAAATATCAAGGTAGGGATCAAATTCTCCATCTTCTGATGTCATAATTATGGTTCTGTAGTACTGTTTAACCAACAAGGAAATCACTCCATACTGGTCACAAATTGTCATGAATACATTCTCAAGCATGTATTTAAAACACAGCAACATTGCCAATAGTTCTTGGCTTGCTTGGGTCAGGCTGGAATCGAGAGCTGTAAAATCACTGTGAAACAAAGAGGTATTAGCTGTATCAGACTATTCTTTACCCTTTCCACAAAGGAATAATCTGCACACTCCACATTTTCTGAATTTCCAGAAGAAAAAATGATCAGCACAAAAGCAGAATGCCTGTCTAGGTAAGGCAATAGACCCTTCTAGTGGCAGACAAAAACATTTAGAAGAAAAGGAAGCAGCATCTGATATGTAAATGGAAGGAAACCGTTATGGGCTTCCATTATAATCATTAATATCACCATTTTTCTCTGTTATTCTTTACCCATTACGGTATTTTCCATCATTATCCCACTCAACAAGGCATAGAACTTGTTTCTTAAAACAGAGCTTGCAGAAATATTTCTTTCCTCTCTCCCCCTTGCTCTGAATCTCTGCAATGTGTTTTATTTACAGCTTGTTTCAGAGCTCACCAGGGCACTCCTGCTGGTGCAGAAAGCAGATAACAGCCAGCTCGCTAGTAAGGACATTACAAAACTTAAATATAGTGAAGAAACATTCCTGAATAACAAAGCAGACAAGAGCTGCTTATAACTGAGCATTTTAACATCTCTATTAGTTATACAAGACCGTGAGTGAAGCTGGAAAAATACCAACTGCCAAATGGATAAGCCCAAATAATTTTAAAATAAAAGAGGTATCTAATTCAATTTCAAGATAAATAAAATGATTTTTCTGAAAGGAAAGATGCTATGAAAACTATCATGAAAAGACTGAGTTTCAAATTAATTAATGAAAAATATTTAAAGAAGCATCCTTTGTGGCAGAGGATGCCAGCATTAAAATTTTCAGATTTCTTCTTCATGAAGTCTTCAAAAGTCATTTGTTTTCTTCGGAAACCAGTACCATGACCACAATATCTGCATTTCTGCCCTATAATGCATTCCTGTATTCTGTGCTTAAAGATCACTATTGACAGTTTAAATGGTAGACTCAATTTTCGCCAGTTGTTCCTCTAACAGGTCTTTGAAAAACTATTCAACATAATGACTGAAGATTAATGCATCATTTTGTATATTACTTACATCTTGAGTCAAACAAAGTAGTTCATGTAACAAACTCAGAACATCAGAAACCTGCCCTTTCAGTTAAATGCTTTGATGAACACAAGGTAGCAGGCCCACATTATAATCTTTACCAAAACAAATTCTTTCTGAATAGAGATGGAAAATTTTATTAACAAAATTCTAATAACAAATGTACCTGTTCTACTCTGCAAAGGGTTTGTTTTCTCTACAGAAGTGGAAGCTGTGGTGCTGCAATTTTATCATCGGATATTTGTCATAGGAAAGGGATATTGCACTTATTGTTCTAAAAAACACGATCATTTTTACTTTTAAAGAAAAAAAATCTCTTACATTTTTACAGAGAACACTGTATCTACACTAATTTACGCTTTACCTGAGATACTCAATACAGAGCGCTGTCCCTGGAGATTTTCAATGCCAGGCTGGACCAGGTTCTGAGTAACCTGATCTAGCTGTGGATGTCCCTGTTCATTGCAGGTGAGTCAGATTGCGATGACCTTTAAAGATCCCTTCCAGCTCTGAGGATTATATGATTCTATGGTTCTAGAAGCATGAGCCACAAAATAGCCTTACTGTCTGGCAGTTTATGTGGGTGTCAACAGTCAGAAAAAGTCCAGTACAGTGTGGGAAGCACCTGGGAAATATGACCTAAGAATTTTCTCCTTAATTTATTATTTATAGAAGTTTATTTTACAGAAGACAGGATAATTAAGTAAAGTAGCATCTTGAAAGAGCTACAGTACAAGTGAGCTGGAGAGTGATCATGACTTAATTTCATGGAATCATGCTGGGTAGAAAGGAAAAAGTAGTAGTCATGGCATTAACACGGTAAAAGTTCTAATTATTTTTAATGTCATTACCAAATGCTCCTACATTTTTTGCTGCATAGCAACAGTAACAGGATATCCTAAAGCTACATAGAAGTTTTTTAGCCATCGTTTATTTCAGTATCATTCTGTTTTCATTTGTTTTCAAATATTTACTGGCATGCTCAGTAAAAAGCCTTGAAACTTTTGAAATTTGTTTCTCTTTCTTAGTTAGTGAACACTCAAGTGGTGATTCAATTATTCTTGCCAGAAATACAAGGTCCAAAATTTATGCAGTGTACGCTGCATTATGCAACAAATTAAAATTTACATTTTCTAAAAGATGTATCTGTTATGAACTGTCACTGATAGTTATTGGTGCTCCACAAGTCCTGACTTCCATTAGGCCTTTTTGCTCCAACACTGTAACTTGTGCTGATCCCCTTGATGTGGGAGATTTGCTGCTGGGAGGGTTTCCATTTTGGTGAAGGTGGACCAGTGCAAGTCCTAGAACAGGCAGGACGACTAGGGTGGAATAAACATCAATTCCTGTTATGGACAATTTCAACTCATGCAAATAACAGCTTTACTTGTATTTATTAGATATCTATTCCATTGCTCTGAATGCATAAGAGTCTGGATGTTTGTGACCAACAAGAAGAAAATGTCCTTACATTACAGACAGTGCCTCAGGGATATGCAGCGGTGTGTTAGGGAACCATGCCAAATAACGAGAACAAGACAATATCCTGCTGTTCAGCTCCCATATGATAATGGCAGGTAGGAAGTGGAGAGAATACAGGATAGTACAAGCAAGAGATATTTCAGCCCTTTGCAGATAAGATTTCTAGCTCTACTTAAACCAACTACCTGCCACTTCTGGCATGCTTTCAGGCTTTCACAGATGATAGACATTTAATATCTTGTGGCAATGCAAAAGCCATGCATCTAAAACAATTGATCTTAATCAGTGTGCATTCCCTTCTAAGCTTTGTACAAGCACTGAAGTGGAACATTAACTGTATCATGAAATGCAGAGCTGTCAACAGGTAGTTCATCTGTAACCTGCCAATCTGTAGGCCAAGAACATTTGGAAATGTAAAGTGTCACCTTTGGGAGGAATAATAAGTGCAGAGACTTCTGGTGTGTGGAACAGGTGAAAGTCCAAGACAATTATTGAACATTTGCCTCAAAAGGATTTTATAAATGATTCAAAATATATCTGCAGTGTACTGTGGGACAAAGTCAGATGTTGCAAAAGGAAAATTCTGTTTTTCCTACTTTTTCTTCCTGACCTCAGGCAAAGATGCAAACACTACTGGGGTTTATAAATTTATCTGAGCAATGTATTGATGAACAGAGACAGAAAAATGAGAAAAAGGAACTCACACTATAGCATTTGAAAGGAAGAATTGAGGAAAGGAATATGTTTTAAAAGATTTCCTGCATAACTGTGGATAAACTGACGCAGAAGGAAAGTGGAAGAGGAAACAGTGCAACTCTAGCAGTAGCTTTTCTGTACATACATAATCAACAAGATAACTAATGTGCCTGCTACTGGCTATCCAAAGAAATGATGCAGCTACTCAGTAAACTGCACTGCAGTATTAATCACACCTTTGTTTTCACTTTTCTTTCAGATTATTAACAAATTTTAGCCACTATTTAATAAGTGTTAGGAGGTGAAATTGTGATGATCTTCCTCAGTTCTTAATAAATATTTTTCAAGAATAAATGATTCATTTTGCAAAGGCCATCAAGACATCAAAATGTGCTAAGATTTAGAAAACTGTGGAAAACAGAGAAATATATATGCTAAAAACAAAAGTGAAAAAAAAAAACATAAGATCATTTGAATGTGTTATTTATTTAAACTGCTTCACTTGGATTTTTCTATCACAAAAATCAGATTTGATAAAGTGAAATGAACTGTTTCCAGACTAATTTCCAGTCTTAAAAAAACATAAGCTCTTCTTCAAATGATGTCAACAATTGCCTTGTTCATATTATTTGAGCATTTTTCGAGATTACTTTCAAAACTAAACCAACTTTGAAATGCTGAGTAATTTTCTCTGAACCACTTGGGCTGCTACCAGGTTACCGCTTACAGCTTCTTCTGTTTGGCATGGTCAAGTTTAACTAATGTTTTTATGTAGTAGCAAATCTAAAAGTCAAGTCTTAAAGAGAGGGATTCCTTAAGAATTTACACAATAGTGTGCATAAAACAAGTATGCCCATGTCCAAGTTTTTTCTCTGTCTCTTCTCCCGGCAGATAGAAAGGGTTGCCCAGCTGCCTCCCAGCAATGAAACAGTGAAGGAGCACAGGCAGCTGGAACTAATTTTCTATTGCTGGGAAGTAATGTAGTTTCTCTAGAGCTGCTGGCGCTACTCAGATTTATACCAGAAGGGAATTTGGCCCATGGACTTAGAGGGAAACACAGGGAACATCCCAGGCATTTCCAGGAAGTTACTGTGGGCATACAGAGGGATTCTAGCTTTTTGCTTGTAGTGATAAAATAGTGTGCACTACTATATGCAAATGCTGGTGGTTTGTAAGCTAGAGATGTGAAGATTGCAGCACATCATCAAGATATTGCTGTAACTAATTTCTCTCTCAGTGACCCTGTTTGATGAAGTGATTCTCAGGGAGTGATTTACTACTACAGAAACTTCACAGTGAAGGACCTTCAAGTGCATAAATATTAGGTATGTGTGATTATTTTGCAGTTAGAGAAGCACAATCTTACCATAGGTTACAGGAAGATGACAGTAACAGTAGGAGCAGAGGCAGAGTTTCCTTCCTGCTTTGAAACTTGTAAATATGCTCAAGATTATTAATGTTCTTCATGGGAAAATAAATTGAATGAATTTAGCTCACTTATTTTTACATCTGACTTCTGCCTTTGTCTGCTCTTCCTATCCAAAGACTTCATACTACACATGCAATTAGTAGTTTTACTTAAGGTCACTGATTCTCTAACTGTTTCAAGGCAGCATAGTCCTTGTGGCAAAGTTATTTAAAAGTAATTACCTTGGACTATGCCACCTGCACCACATAAAAAAAATCCCCTTAAGTGAGATAGAATCTCAAAATGAAGATCATTTTGGACCAAAAAGAACACTGGTGGTGTCATCTCCAACTTGCAGCAGTGCAAATGAGATGTAGTAACAGGGTCCATTTAACACATGACTGATTCTTCATCTGGAAGATATTTGCAAGGAAATGGACTTAATGATCTACAAGACTTTTATGTCTAATTTCTGTGACTCATTTCATATACAAAGATGGTCTAGGAAGCAGCCAGTGACTCAGAGCAGGTGTATCTCTGGCATAAAAAGTATCCATTTCTTCATCCTGATGAAAATTTCTAGTAGCCTTAGGAAGTCTGCGCCATTACTTCTAAGCTATGTTATATCTTTCTAGCATTTTTAATTGAACATTTATACTTCATGTTTTTCAGAAAGAGATCTTTTGGACTCTACCCAAAATAACAGGTATTTTTAACTTTATTGAAAGTATTCATTGTAATGCTTAGATGAAAATCAGCTTTAAAAAGCACTTATATGAAAACTGAGCATCTGCAACTTCACCCAGCTCAGTAGAATGACTCAAAAGTGTCACTTTCTAATTTCAGTCAGTCTCTATTCAACAAACAGTAGTGGTTCCATTCATATTAATGAAGCCAATCTGATCTTCTACAAATATTAATGGAATCCGATTTTTGATCACTATTTCTGTTACTTTTGATAATCTCTTTAAAGAAAGACATGAGAAGGTAAAATGAGCTAGACTTGCTTTCTAAGGCAGTAACTGTTTCAGTTGATCTGTGTCTGCTGCAGAATTAGACCACACACAACACATACATGTGAAGAAAATTGTGTATAAAGCACAACAAAGTATTTGCTTGATTAAAATCTTGAAGCAGGTGCAAAAGTATTTTATATCAGCTTACCTGCTCAGAAATCATTCTGTCAGTTCCTTACCTGTTGAGTGAAATCTCTGTTTTTGTTCATGTCCACTTCATTCTAGTTCAAGTCACCGTTAGATATGGCTTGGTAAAAGAGTAGTGGAAAGACATCTCATATTTATAGGCCCAGACACAAAAAAGGTTAGTTAAAACAGAACTGCTGCAATGTGCTTTTCCCAGAAAGCCATTCAAATGACAAACCATAGAAAGCAGCCCTGATGTGTCATGGCCAGGAGCACTGTTTTCTGGAACACTGTTGAAGTAGTGAACTGACAAATGTACATTATTAGCTGCCTGCCTGCATGGAAACAAATACAGCTGAGTATAAAACTGTTTTGCTGCACTTTTTTCCTCCCAAAAGGGTGGGGTTTTTGTTTTTTTGTTTTGTTGTGTTCTTTTTTTTTTTTTTTTGTCCTGTAGCAAACCATTTTCATTCTAGAACAGAAGGCTATTATTAGGCTTCTTCGATGTAAAACCTACGTGCCATTGTAACAACAGTGTTATTGGGGCACATGGGGAGGAGTTTGAAAGGCACAGCTCACTGCAAGAGCAACGTGGAGTGCTCGACTGTCAATCAAGGTGTTTACAAGTTGCTAATTAATACTGGTTGATCTGGTTTTAGTAGATTTAGGTAGAAGGGTCTTTTTTTGCTCAAAAAGTCTCAAAATATATTGAGAATAGCTAAGTTCCTTATGCCTCTTTAGTTGTCGGGTTTAACATGGATTTAAAGGACCATGTTTAACTGATGTTTCGTTCATGTAAATTTCTTCAGCTGACATAACATTAGAGGATGAGTGTGTGTGCTTACAGCAAGCAGCTGATTGTTAAGAGTTGTGTTCAGCATTGTGTTAATATGACATTTACTCCTGGAAGGAAAAAAAAAAAAAAAAAAAAAAAAGCTGGTTTGGCAATCTTTCGTGTGTTTTAAAAATAAAGCGTTCAGTTTATGAAAATTATCCCACACAGATAATGAGTGTGGGCTAGAAACTATAGTTCACAAAAATTTCAGGCATCTTCAGTGAACTTGTTAAGCGCTCAAGTCCCAGAAGATGATTCTGAAAATCCTTTTTCGTCTTGGAGGCACTGAAAGGCCAGACCTATTAACTCTGCAATCCATCTACTCAGCTGCTATGGCTGTCCTCATTCTAGGCTGCTCCACTTGTCAGAAATCAGAGCAGATCAACAATTCTGTAACTCTGCAAGTTTATCAGTATTCAAGAAATGGGCTTAGTTATAAAACTTTTAGCACTGTAATGTATTAAAAATGCTTTTGACAGTTTATACTGCTGTGAATTCATAGTTAATATTGTTATTAGTAAATCCAGTTCATCAAGTGTATGTACTTGGTAGCTTAATATTCTCATGGATATATGTTATTTGTGGCATCAATGGAAAAGGAGCCCTAAGAGAACAAGCATGTTCTCTGTAGGAGAGGCAGAGATTTACACAAAATGTTCCTTTTCTTTTAGATTATAGGGTTGATGTCATGAGTTTACATAATTATTTAATTTAAATATGCTGGGCTTCAGCCACTAATTTTCAAATATTAATCTAAAATTGCAGATGCTTTGGAATTACAACACAGAGACCAACAGAGTGATCACTTGATATTTTAGCTAGGGATACTTTGTAGACAGTATGATGAGTATGCACTGAAGAGAAAGTGGAAACTGCTCATTATCCCATTAGCAGCTCTTCTGTAGCTAAAAAAGAGATACAGCTTTGCTTATGACAGCTATGGCAGCAGATAACTGCCAGTTCAGGGAAGCTGTCTACTGGCTAGCTGCCAACTTCTCACTTCACAGTGTTTTACAGTTGTTTCTGATTCCAGCTACGGAAGTCAGGGCTTTTTTCTTTTCACATGTTTTCCAAAGAAGAGATGGAAATAATCACTGCTCAAAGTCTCCTCCCATACAAATTGGTTTTCCAGTTGTTTTTTAGGAAAAACTCTAAAAGAGTGGTGTCAGGTTCTGGAGCAGGCTGCCCAGAAAGGTGGTGAAAATACTATCCCTGGAGGTGTTCAAGAAACATTTAGATGTTGTACTGAAGGACGTGGTTTAGTGGGAAATATTGGTGATAGGTGGGACAATTGGACTGGAAGTTCTTGAAGGTCTTTTCCAACCTTGGTGATTCCGTGATTCTGGAAGGGAATATCTATATCCTCTAGTTTTAGGTAGTAGAGAATCAGGCTTCTTTCTTTCCCCATTGGTGTAGGTTACCTTCAGTTGTTAATTTAAGTGGGTTTCCTGCAACGCCTCAAGATTCCATATCTTGAATAGGTTTTGAATGGTGCTTAATGCATCCCAGGTAGGAGGGAGGATTACATCCTGTAATCTGTTTATAAGCCTGGAAAATTTATCAAATTAACATTATCACTTTCTTTTATCACATAAAGAATATGAGTTGCAAGTACTCTTGTTTCTAATCCTGACAAGGATGGCAAAATCTGCCTATCCCCCCTAGAAGAGCTGGCTTGCGCAGTGTGTTTTCCTTCAATGTTTCTTTGCAGCTGTGATAAAAGATATTCAGCAACAAGATTTTGCAGAAAAAGTCAGTTATGTGTCAGTTTACATTGCCCCCTGTAAACTGGAAATACAATTACATCTTGGTACTGATCCTTTCTCAATTACTGCAGCTATCTTTCTGCCAGGTTCTCTTTTAGGACTTCTTGCTATGATTTTCTCTTCCAGCACTCTCACAAGAATGCTTCCACTTGGCTTCACTGCGTATTTCCAGTATCCTTTCATTCATTGCCCTGTGCTTCTTGATTTCTATTCTAATTAGGCAGCCAGCAACGCTACTATGAAAACTGCTCGCTCTTGTATTTGTAGGTGGCAAAAACTAGGCACACACTGTAATCAAAGACATGGAGAGGACGAGAAGCTGGCCTAAGCTATATTGGAAGTTAATGAGGATAACTTTTTTTTTATATCAATGACATGTAAGTAATCTTAACAATAGGTAATAAGCTATTATTTCATACTCATAAAAACTACAGTGGGCAGAAAGGTTGATCACTGGGAAGTGTAGCATTGTTTATGTTTCAAATGATGCCATAATATATGCGCTCCATAATTAAAGCATTAAAATTAAATGCCAGACCTCATTATACCTCTCCCAGTTCTTTGTCTTTCATATAATGAATGTGCAAATGAAATGCTGAGAGCTGTTGTTTATTTTACTCTTGTCATCGCATTCAATTAATTTTCTAAGTTGAAATTTTAGAATTACTTCTCAAATTATAAAGGACGACTGGTTACAATGACAATTCTGTCAATCTGTGAGTCTGAATAATAATTTGACATGAATATCTGAGATCCTGTAAGTTTTTATTATCGTTAATACATCCCCATATTCATGTATTCTTTCCTTCTTTGCATTGCTTCTTCATCTTATTAAGTAACTGGAAATAATTCTTTTTATCTGTGGTTTTGTTTTGTTTCTAGGTCATTGTGGTTTTTATTATTTCAGTTTCTCTTCCTGTTCTTCGTATATTAAGTAGAGCTTTCTGCTAAACGTCTTCCCTCCCCTGTCATCTTTTCTTTGCAAGACATATACTAATTTACTAGCTCCTGCATACAGCTGTCACTAAAAGAGAAGTAAATAAATAAGAGAGTTACAAAATAGTGCTAAGAGTTTTAGACAGAGAGTAAAAAATACTACATTAAAACTGGAATAAAACCATAACTAGAACTACGATTTCTGTGCTCCTAGCTCTACTCCATATTCCTTCCTTCCCATCCATTGCAGCCACCATTGCAAATTGTGCTCAGCCCCCTGGCAGTCACACACCATCACAAGGCGCTGAGTGCACTGAGCTGCGCAGCTGAACATTCATGTTCATGCTTTACACTGGTTGGCACCACACAGGAAGTCCATCACACCAAGAAGGTGCCAAGGCGTGGAACAGCCTGTGCTGCAGTCTGGGAAGGGAGAGCAAGTAAGCCAGGTGCCAGAAACACCTCCCAGGGAAGACTATGTCTGCATCTGGCCCTGCAGGCTATAATTAGCAATTAATCTGGATTAAATTAAATACAGGTAATAATGCTTGAATGCTTAATCCTAAAAGGCATGTTATGTGAGCATCACTAATACGATTCCAGTTTTACAGATGTCTTTATAACACTATCTAGCTGTAACATACTCTCAAGATGACCCGGAAGAAGCTGCATCGTGGAAATGGCACATCAGAGGTACCCCCACTATCTCCTACAGCAGCTGGGATTTTCCACATTAATTTTCCATCTGAATTCATGGCAGATGTAACACAACTTACTTGACTCACCAACACAAGTGTCACAGGCTGACATGCTGTAACAACAGATCCTTGCATCCATGTTAATTCATTTCAGAGCCTTGCAAATTGAAGAGGCTGTGAACCCACACTGAAAAAAGGCTAGATGATAACCTCTGGCTGTCAGCAGAGGCTGTGGTCACTGCAAAATGCTTTGATCTCACAGAATTGTTTGAGTTGGAATGGAACGTTTAAAGGTCATGTGGACCAACTCCCTTGCAATGAACAGGGACACCTACAGCTAGATCAGGTTGCTCAGTGCCCTGTGCAACCTGACCTGGAGTATCTCCAAAGATGAGGCTTCTACCACTTCTCTGAGTAACCTCTGCCCATGCTTCACTACCCTTATCATAATAAATTGTGATTAAATTCATTATTCTTCAACCATTTCCAACCTTCCCTCCCTTGCCTCATGTCTTCTGTGTCCTTTGGGTTACCACAACAAGGCAGCAAAACTATCAGACCTCATTCAATTCAATTTTTCCATGGTTATCCCTATGGCCTTGCCTGCTGCAGAAAGGGGAGCACAGTGACACCAGCAGCCTTGGTCCTCTGCTTGAAGGTAGGAAAAGAGTTCATATTTTTCTTGACAAAGCTCCCAAATTCTTCTGGATTAAGCTAAACAACAGACTGCAAGCTGCCTCTGAGATGTATTAACACAGCAATGAAAGGTGCTCCATGGCAATACAGTACTAAAAGGGGAAACATCCTAAAAGTATTTGTTCTTTCAAGAACAAAACTGGTCCAGTATCTTTGCATTGTGCAAATATTTCTGCTTGCATGGTAGATGACTTGTCAAATAGATTTGCTGAGGAACTATCAGGTTTAACTATCAGCTTTCCATAGTATGAAGTTGTATGAGAGTGGTGCATATTGTGGGAAAATTAGGAACTGTAGTGCATAACCTGAGATTATTAATAATATTCATGCTAGGTGGTTTCCTGTCTGTAATTTTCTAATTGCCTGACCTAAAAGTATATGTATCTCATCACAAAGGAGAATTACTGGTGTCTACTACTTTTATTTAAACTTATAAATTGGTAAAAGAAATTAAACAAATACTTATTTGTCCATGTTATACACTTCCTTGTAAAGAAATGTTTGTAGCTGTTACGTTTAAAGTCTTTCTCAGGTTACATCTGGAGATTTAAAACGAAGAGAAATTAAGGTAATCTCTGGAACAGTTTTTAGTATTTTTTAATCAATAGGAATTATATACTGGGTCATTATGCTTACTTTAAACTTGTGTATTTCTACTGGTTGAAATTTGATTCCAGATTTATTAACCTAATTAGCTGGACATTTTGATGTTTTTGTGCTATTGCACCATTACTCCAGTATCCTTTATTTTTATATCCTCAGTAAATCTATCCACCATGAAAACAGATGCTCTTTCACACTATTTGCATGCAAAGAACACTTGGTTTATGTGCATTCATAGGTGCCTATTTCCTTTTTCCCAGTAGATTATTTCTGCTGTTCAGACAGAAAAGAGTCTATGTTTCATTTGTTCAGTTAAGTACTCATCTAGGGTGCAGTAGATAAAGTTTCAATCCTACTTGTGCCTGAATGGATTTAAATATACTGGTCTCCCCTAACAGTCAGTCCAACGGCTGCTTTTGCAAGAAGAATAAGAGACAAAGGTACTTAATCTTCCTTGTCAGAATTGTTCCATTTAATGTAAACTGATTATAAAATCATTGGTTCAGATAAAGTACATGTATAAGCAACTTTTCTAGACAGACAGAGGACCTAGTTTAATCTATGTCTCAGTAAAAATGGTGTATTTTACAGTTATTTTTATCCTAGTTTTTATATCCTCCAGATTTTGCTTAGATGGTGTGGGTTCCCCTCTCTTTGGATGATATTCTTTCAGTCCTAGGGGATTACACCGTAATCTGTCACATCAATGGGAATCCAGTAGTATTTATAGGATTTGAGTGAAATGATTATGATGACAGTAACAAATGTTCCCCAAACGAAATGGTTTAGCACTTTAAATGGTTATATGAAAAAAATGCATCTCCTCTAGCCTCCATAAACTCAGGTCTGATAGAAGTAAGGGAAAGCAGAAAATCATTTTACGTTTTATCTCACTTTGGCATATGTAGTGCAGACCTGATTATTTACTCCATTACTACTTTATCTCCTTTGCTATTCACAAACACAGATTTCCCTTCAAGAGAAGTAAGGTCAGGTGGAGGATGGCATACACCCATTTCTTGTCCTGTCTTGGAGTTGGCACACATTCAGGAGCAAAACTCTGCAACCTGAACTGTGAGTGGGAAAGCATTCTTGTCCCCTGCTAGACATGCCTAAAAAATAAAAATAAAAATATTTAAAAAAAGGAAATTAGCCTTATAGAGCTTAAATAAGGAAGATGGAATATCAATCCATGTAAAAATATAATTAAGGCAAAAGAGCAGAAATAAAATTCTACTGAATTGAAAATGGATTGGGCCTTGTATTCTTCAACTGCAAGTGAATTTTCCAGACCAATCAGTCTGAGAAGAAAACATGTTTTGTGTTATAAGTGCAGTGAAATTCTTCTCGTGGATGTTATAGTCTGGCAACCCAGCCATCTCTTTTCTACCATGGTCGGCTGAACTTTGAATGATAATAATATTTTAAGTAAAATATAAACTGCAGTCCAATTGTCTGGATTTGCAATAAAAATGCGAAGGCTACTTACAATGCACATTAACAGAGTAAATTAATAACAACATAAAAGTGGTGTAACTGCCTCAGAACATTTTTCATCTAAGTACTTGTATGTATTCATATTGCTGCACCCTTTTTATCTGGTAGCTATGTCAAGACTGGATTTTTTTATTCATATAAATCCTCTCCCTAGTGATCTGAATACCTCGCTTTTTATCCTTCTTCGTGCTTCTATAAAGATGCTCTCAAAAGACCCAAAGAATATCACAGCAATGTCAAACATTTAATATAATTCTACTCAGATAAAGAGCATTTTTACTATATAAAGAAAGGCTTGTTCCTATGATTGTTAAAAATTCTCATGCTCTTAGATAGAGGAATAAACAGTAACTTTTGTGTTTTCAAAGTTCACAGAATCACAGAATCACCCGGGTTGGAAGGGACCCCAAGGATCATGTAGTTCCAACCCCCCTGCCTAGCAGGGCCACCAAACATACACATTCAGATCAGGTTGCCCAGGACCCCGTCCAACCTGGCCTTAAACACGTCCAAGGACGGGGCATCCACAACCTCCCTGGGCAGCCCGTTCCAGGGCCTAACCACTCTCCTAGTAAAGAACTTCCCCCTAACATCCAACCTAAATCTTCCCTCCTTCAACTTAAAACCATTTCCCCTAGTCCTGCTGTTATCAGCCCTTTTGAAGAGTTTACTCCCCTCCTGGGTGTAGGTTCCCTTCAGGTATTGATAGGCTGCAATGAGGTCGCCCCGCAGCCTTCTCTTCTCCAGGCTGAACAAGCCCAACTCCCTCAGCCTGTCCTCATAGGGGAGGTGCTCCAGCCCCCTGATCATCTTAGTTGCCCTCCTCTGGACCCTTTCCAAAATCTCTATGTCTTTCTTGTACTGAGGGCTCCACACCTGGACACAGTACTCCAGATGGGGCCTCACAAGAGCCGAGTAGAGAGGGACAATCACCTCCCTGTCCCTGCTGGCCACCCCTCTCCTGATGGAGCCCAGGATCCCATTTGCCTTTTGAGCTGCCAGAGCGCACTGCTGGCTCATATTCAGTCTCTCGTCCATCAGGACCCCCAGGTCCTTCTCTGCCGAGCTGCTCTCAAGGACCGCTCCTCCCAGCCTGTACGGGTGCCTGGGGTTCTTCCGGCCCAAATGCAAAACCTTGCACTTTGCCGTGTTGAACCTCATCAGGTTCACCCGAGCCCAGCCCTCCAGCCTGTCGAGGTCCCTCTGAATGGCATCCCTTCCTTCCACCGTATCAACCGCACCACTCAGCTTGGTGTCGTCAGCAAACTTGCTGAGGATGCACTCAATTCCCTCATCGATGTCATTAATAAAGATGTTAAAGAGCACCGGTCCCAAGACAGACCCTTGGGGGATACCACTTGTTACTGGCCTCCACCTGGACATAGAGCCATTGACCACCACCCTCTGTCTGCGGCCTTTCAACCAATTGCTTATCCATCGGGTCGTCCACCCATCAAATCCACTTCCCTCCAATTTGGAGATGAGGATGTGGTGGGGGACCATGTCAAAGGCCTTGCTCAGGTCCAGGTAAATGACATCGGTCGCCTTCCCTTCGTCCACCAATGCCGTCACTCCATCATAGAAGGCCACAAGATTAGTTAGGCATGACCTTCCTTTGGTGAAGCCGTGCTGGCTGTCTCTGAGTTGAACTCAGAGAATTAACTGCACATTTTCAATAGCTTTAATGAAAGTTGTATGACTAAAACATTATTCATCTTTCTATAGTGAGTAGGTTTTCGTAACATCTTTCCTCAAGGTAGGTACCATGTCATCCAAAATCTGGGAAGAAAACTCTCTAACTCTAATGAGGTGTTAGAAAGTAGCATTCATCATGATATGAATTGGATGACTTGGCAACCAAGAGAACTCTCTCAGAGTTAAGGTTCTGCATTTAAACAGTTAAGATATACATATGCAATACATTGGCATATATATTCATTCTTTTCCAAGAATGCACTGATATACACTAATATCTTTCTGGGCATGCATGGTTGCATTTAGGGTGGTCATACATCCACATACTTTATCCCCATTTTCCGCCATCAGCTTCATCACAGAAACTTTTAGCTGAGCTTCAGCTGTTTTTCCCCAGTTCAGCAAATTTCTACTGCTTATTAGGCCATAATGAGCAATTTCCAAAACAATACACGTTTAATATTCTAGTACCTCATGAAATGCAAAAATAAGTAGTCTATTATGTCTCCAGTGCTTCTTGTGAAGCAGAATTAAGAGAAAACAAGGCTGCTCACACATCAAGCAAAGTTGAAGTGGAAAGTTTTAGAATCAGCACTCATTGATTCCTTTTGCTGAACTAGTATGTTGGTCTTCAAACCAATACACTGATCTCTATTGCTAAACAAACCAGCCAGTATCACCTTACCTCTAGTTGTCCTTACTGAACTTTAAAATTAACTTTCCCCTGGAAATGGAAAGAAAAAAAAAATCTGCATCATTCATTCTTCCATCTATAACACATGTTGTGCTATGTTGAGCCAGAGCTGAAACTGAAGAAAATGCTAATTTTTGCAAACCTCATACATACTCAATATCTGAGTAGGCTTCACATAGGTGCAAATAACAGGGGCACTAAGCAAGCACACAAGTGTACACAGCCTGGATTAGGCAAGATCACAGCTAAGACTCTAACAAATGCAGTTAGGAACAGCATAGTTAAGGAGGCTGCATGGCAGGTCCTATTCTTTTAGGCTTTCTCTGAGTTATTTCCCCTTGTTTCTTCTCAGCTGGTAATGTATACTAAATCCTCCTGTCTCCTCCACCAGTGGAATTTGAAAAAGTTCAGATGAATCTGATTGAATTCAGAAGAACTACATGCAGATAAACATAAATCAAAATTTGTTCAAAACATTTTCCATATTTCACATGTTCTAAAAAGAAGTAATAATTTAAGACATACCTAAACAAAGTCCAGAATAGAAATGAGTTCTGTAGGAATTAGACCTTTTCAGTCATTCCACTGAAATCTCAGGTGGACGTAATTAGGCAGAACTGCTAAAAAGAGAGATACTAAAGTTCTAGCCCTTCAATCTCAGCTGGAATTAAGTGTTATCAAATACATAGGAAATGGTTGTTATGCTCTCTATTTACATTAGGTGGCATCATTCTCACATATTTTCGATTTACATCAAGAAGCTGTGAAGCAATCATTCTAGGTTGAAATAAAGTGTGAAATACTTTCATATGGTAAATACTCTATTTGCAACAAATAAGAACCTTTTATATTATTAAGGCAAGCAAATTTACTTCCTTTCAGTGTAGAATAAATCTCCATTACTGAAGAAATGCTGCAAGGCATAGTAAGCAGGAGAGTAGAGCAACCAACTGATTTACCAGTAAACCTTGCTCTCTAATAGGCTTATATTAAACCTACATTCTTCTCCCCAAATCTAAACAGGTTCTGTTCCCAGAAGAAAAAAAAAACTCTAAAACCCACTTATGATTCAACTTATTTAGCAGAGCTATAACCTTTCACCAGAACTCATATTCTTTGAGAATTAGTGAGGGAATTCCTCAAAAAAAGTTGGCTGAAGTTGAGAATTGCTTTTTATAACAGATTTCACCAAGTGGTTCATTCCAAGTTAAAATGAAGTCAGAACTGCTAAAATACTTTTGGAAAAGGAATGATGGAGAGGGTAAGTAGAGACGGCAATCAAATTCAGTTCAACTCATTCTCTTCTCAAATCAGTTATGCATATCACCTAGGTAATGTACAGACCTAGGAATGAATGTTCAGTATCTCTAGGTGGTACCTCAAAACCAAGTGCAACAAAGTAACAAGAGTCTTCTTCCTGCCTCAGAAGAAAACTTCAAATATACATCAGACCATTTTTGCACATTTTCACTCTGATATTCTTCAGTACCTTGGCAACAGTTGTCTGTAGCCGTGTTTTAATGCTGTTAATCTGCCATCACAGTTGAAAATCTCATTAGAAAGAAATTCTTACAGGACTCGTGGTACTGGTGCTTCTAGTCTTGAGGTGAATTCTTGGAAGAGCACTACTTGAAAGCTATAGATTACATTTTGCCAAACTTGGAGAAGGAAATACAGTCAAACACATGAGAGTTCTCTAAATGACTGGGGTTACTATTTAGATCATCTTGAGCCCCTGCAAACTCTTTTTATGGGTTGAGAAAAATTGGCATGGATTGATAGTACAGGGTCTACTGAGAAGTAATTTCTGACCAATCTTCCTCTCTGCATTTTAGAGCCAGTTCACACCTGCCTTGCTTCTGCCTTTTCCAAGCTTATTCATTGTGGTATCATAAGCAGACTCTTCCTTCCCATATCCAGTCCGGACTCCTGCTCACAAATTGCTCCCTCTGACCTGTAGCTGCTTTCAATAATGGCTCATCACCACTGTAGACACCTGCTTGCTTCTTCAGCAAATACCTGACTGTCCTTTCAAATGGGAGTCAGAGGGGATACAAAAAAAGATACCCAATCTGCTTAAATGAAGAACTACCAAATCTCCACTTTTTCACTGGTATTTAAAAGTGTAATTTTTTTTTTCATATGGCAGGTTGATCCAGTTGAGTGTAAGGACAGAGCACTAGCTGTACGAGCTCAAGGTAAAAGTCATTGCAAAAACAGCAAAAAGGAACCTGACCTTGTCATAATGAGACAGCCACTGTACTGCTGCCAGGCTACGTCTGCCTAGAAACAGGATAAACACAAAGAGTGGAACAGGTGCTAAAGCACCTCATTAGTGTGATGAGTGTTTGCTGTAACCATTCTCATCCTGACGTGGGAGAGAATAAACTTCTACTCAAGAGGGACAGCTGCTCCCAAAGCTAGGCAGCTCTGATCTCATTAAAAGTCTGTGCTCCAGTTTGCAAAGAAATGCCAGAGCCTAAAAAAACTCATCACCATACAGAAATTCAAGTGGATGTGCAGTAGAGCTGTGGACAGTGTCCTTCTTATTGGCTCTAGAAAGGAAAAGGGTAAAATGAGCACCAATGACATTATGTGTTAGGGCCCTGGGCATCCCACTCTGGGTGTACCTGCTTGAGCAGGAGTTGGGCCAGATAGACCCTGAAGTCTCTGTCAACCTCAGCCGTTCTGTGATTCTGAAACTATTGGTGGGGTTTTTTTTGTGTGTCCCCCTAAAGTTATTGACTGAAGCAACCCGGTGGGAAAAACATTTACATATCTGGTTAGAGAAGGGAAAGGTAAGAAGTCTAAGATATCAGCTTTCTCACAACTCTCCTGAATCTTCATGAATTGCAGTTGACCCATTTAGCAAGATTTTGAAAATACTGGAGAGGTTTTTCAGAGTCCTGGTGGAAGGTTCATTCTTGACAAGAGCACTATCCCTCTGCTAACTTAAAATCTCTTCTTCAAAGTAGGGCGATGCTTGGGCATTTCAAAGACCTCAAAGTATTGACAGGAGCAAAATGGCACTTTGTTTCTAGTCTCATTCATTGAAAGGGCTGAGTTATTTGGCTGAGATATTAAGGAATTCAGGCAGGGGCATGGGCAGAGTATGAAAAGTTTTGGCTTAAACTCAGTGTTTCAAAAGAAGGTGGAAAAACTAAAAACAGTATTGTATAATGGGAATGGAGGCTGTTGTCAGCGATGCCTTCAGTCGTGCATAATAAGTGTTGCTGCTAGCACTATGGGTAACAGTTCTGACCTGCTTTTGTACTTTACTGCAGCAGTAAAGGGTACTTTCAATACAAATACCAGAATACATTCAAAAGTCATTATGAACCCATTCTACAGAATATTCATTTGTTCTCAGACTACCATAATGCTTTAATTAGAGGTGCAGGAAACAACCAAGGAACAAACGTGGTCTGAGGGTGTCTCAAGTGTTATTCTCATGGGCATCTTCTATGAGAGACAAGGAAACTTATGGGGAGTGAGAGGTGTGTATCTGTCCTTCCTGTGTGCCAGCTGATGTTAATGTGATGTTCATACCACTGTGACTCAGCAGCAACAAACCTGCAATTTCCTGCAGGCTTCAGGCATTTGACATCAGAATGACTCGGCATCCATACAGACAGCTGAAGAGCCCTTAGCACAATTGCACCAGGACATCTTTAAAATAATTTAGTAGAAATACTGTTAATTTTCAAGGTCTCCTTTTCCTTTCATTTAGCTATTAAGCAATCTTTCTGGAATTGTTTCAAAAATGAGTTACAGTTGTGCAGGGCTTGTAGCAGCATCACAACTATTACAAAACATTTTTGCATCTTAGAATCATAGAATCATAGAATCACTAAGGTTGGAAAAGACCTAAAAGATCACCCAGTCCAACCATTCACCTATTCCCAATAGCTCCTACTAAACCATGTCCCTCAACACAACATTCAGTCTTTCCTTGAACACCCCCAGGGTCGGTGACTCCACCACCTCCCTGGGCAGTCCATTCCAGTGCCTGACCACCCTTTCTGAAAAGTAATACTTCCTCATGTCCAGCCTGAATCTCCCCTGCCATAGCTTGAAATCTTTTTCTCTGAGAAATGCTTATCACAACTTTTTTTTCCACCAGACCTTTGATATTTGGGGATGGAGGCAGCAGGAACGTGGACACCATAGAGGAATTGTGCCTGCTTTTCTGTTGCTGTAAGAACCACCTTCTCTCAATTTTATTTCTCAGAATCTTTTGATGTCCCACTGAAAAAATAAGCACAAATTCTCTAAGATAAAAATTGTCATTGAACCCTGGTGAAAGAGAACTGAGCAACATTCTGCCTTTTGAGGAACTTTAAATACCTAAGAATGAGAAGAAAGTCGTACTTCACCCAGAAACAGCCCTAACCAACCTCTTTCTTCTTGCATAACCACATCGTGAGCTCAGGGGCTTCCTGCTCTGAGTGAGGAATAGGAACATAAAACATAAGCTAAAAGGATCCCTTCACCCATGCTTACGGAAGCCACAGCTACCCATCCTCTATCAAGAAGTCTCATGTAGAACACAAACTAGCTCCACAAACCATCCAGTGTTTGTTGGTATTTCTTCTTCATGAAGGCATCTAAGCACATGTGTACAGACTCATTCCCACATAGAATAAGAAACTCATACTGTGTGAAAATCAGCTCTGTCAAGTGTTGACGTCAGTGATGTGACAATTAATTGAAGGCTCAAATCTGATAACGGCAATTCTTACAGTGCCATGTGACAGAAGTTGTTTCAGTCATCTTTTCAGACAGATGGCTAAGGAATTGACTTCAAAATTAATATGCAAAAGGAATATTAGGTTGCAAGTTCTTTACTGTCTTTTCCTTTTTTAGGTGCTGCTACTTCCAAGCAGTCTGTTTGTGCTGCTGGCAAAAGAGATTCCAAGTAGCTTCAGTCCATGTGCTGGATAGTCACGTTAGCCACTTCTGGCCACCTTAGTCACTTTAACCTGATCAGGTGAAAGAATATGAGTGAGTGCCTGGAGATACTGACACAGAACTACCTTAGCATAGTCACACAACTGAATGCAGGTTGAGGAACTTTGGTTAGACATGGAAGTTAGAAAAAAAGCAGATAAATTACCTCCTGGCAACCTTAACTCTATTCTCTTAAGCAATTGCATTTCAATACAATTTTAGTTATATAATCACATCATGCTATTCCTCTATTATTGCTTCTTATGTTTAATTTAAAAAATGGATTCCAATGGTAGCTAAATTAAGATTTCAGAGGAAACTGTAGGTGCAGTGGTGGTTAGCTTTCAAGTTCTTGACCCCACATCCTATTTTATACTTCTGCATTGTTTCAGTTCTTTGCATATTGAAGTTTAAACGGAATGATAACATCAAAGTGAGGTGAATTTTGAATGTTTGTTACCACAGCTTCACAACAGACTACCATAGATGGTCTCTGCTTTTCATGTATCACAAGTTCAAACCCACACACACTGCCTTGTGGAAAGTTTCATTGTTTGATTGGTTTGTTTCTAGAAGAAAAATGCTCCTACTAAACACAGAAA